GACCAGGATGGTGGTTATATATGTTGGTCAAAACTCCTTAAACTACATACTTAAAGTGGCTCCATTTTATTGCATGTAAATTACCTCTCTATGAAATTAATTTACAAAGGAAAAGAGACCATTATGTAATTTGTGATGCCTTTTCTACACTAAATACAACCCTAAGTTTATCCTTCTTGTTTTAAGGCTAGCATTAAAAGTATCAGTCTATCAAACCCTAAAATCAGAATTATTTTATTTTATATATAACATATGTAGTCTGAGAAAGCAAAGATATGATATAAGGTACAAAAGTATGTAAGAATGCAAAGGTAAGACATAATTGAGAGACATTTAAAACATTTTTTTCAGCCTCTTAACTTATTCACTTAGTCTAAACATTTATTGAGTTGTACATAAAACAACTACAATCAGCCAAAACTAATACAACAAAATAAGCATAGATTATGTGTGAGGTGAAAATGCCAAAATGAACTGGAGTGAGGAAGGGATCAGGAAGGGTTCTGGAAGGAGAGCCAAGAGTTGATTTTATTTAAGGAATCTAGGAAGCAAATGAATTAGAAACACATTCTGCACAATGGTATGAAGTGGAAAACAGCATGATTTGGATAACTGTAACAGCTGAGTTGTTAATTCAGAGAATAAAGACTGGATCAATAGATGGATGGCAAACTTAAAGACTGAAAAGGATTATAAAGAACAAAGATTCTGAACGCATCATTTTTTTTAAAACTTTTAAACTGTAGCTGAGTTGACTGGAGCATCATCCCATACACCAAAAGGTCTTGTTTCACTCTCACCGCCCCTTCCTCCCTCTCTAAAAAATAAAATCAATAAACATATCCTTGAATAAAGATTTAAAACAAAACAAGTTATTTCCGGATTTCCTAAAAAACCGAGTTCCTTTATGACTTACAGGAAATAAACTGCACAAATGTTTTATGTACTTTTCTGTAAGTATGATATCTCACACAATTAAAATAAAGGGAAGGGGAGATGTTAAAATCATCACACCATTGGGAAGAATATGTATTCTCAATCATCCATAATAGAATAAGACCTTTCTATTTATTGAAAAAAAGAAAAAGAAAAAGAAATAAAGCACCTATTCTTCAGTTCATTATCCTGAATCATTGTGGAGGAGAGGTGCTGAAAAAACCCAGAGAATCAGAGATCGGCCTACACATCCTTTTGGGGGTGCTGTTCACCTTTTGTGATTAAATTAATTTGTTCATTTGTACCCAGTCCCACCCACACCTGTTTTAACATTTTTTCATTCATTTAGTTACAATTTATCAAGATACTAAATAATATCAAATCGGGAATTAATGATTTTTATCTTCAAGGAAAGAAAACAAAGGCAAGAATCTGACAAAAGCTATGAAATAAATACAAGTATTTCTCTCACAGCCTTGTTTTTCAATAGGTCAACACCAGAGGTCGCCAAACTTCAGCAATTCAGCTGCATGAAGCTTTTAAAACTTAACCCTTAACCTAGGGTTCCTGGATGAGCTTCAGAAAGCCCAAGGATCACCTCACATCATATGTAAAATTCAGGCGTGTATCATTTTTCAGGAGGAGAATCCATGCTATGAATACATTTTCAAAGTGGTCCATGATTGAAAAGCTATTAAAAGTTGCTTTTTCTAGTCAGTAATAAACATAGAAAATTTTAAATAATATAAGAATGAATTAAGCGATCAAATATTTTGTTTATATATTACACATGATATATATTACAAGTAAAAATCAGTACCACTAGGTGTAATGGTGTGTACATACACATTCTGGGGAGTGAAAGATAGAAAAAAGTTTAACATGTTGTCCTTGCAATCTGTTAATAACACATAATATGACAGCAGAAGAAATGTCACCAGGTAACATATAATTAAACTCCAAACACATGTTGGCAAAGATAACGTCACTGATCTATCAAAAACTTAGGAAAACAGTATTTTATACTTACTAAACTCTGATTTAATTAATATCTTTGATCTCTCTGAGACTATTTGATAGTGAAAATGTTAAGCTGGAAAAGGAGAGTATAGGCACACAGGTGCTGAACAAATCATAATATAGAGATAACTGAAAATCTCAAAGTGTTTGCTAAAAAATACGGTAAAAATAAGGTTGAGCTGTACTTAAAAGCAAAGATCCACCATAATAATCTTGACTATTTTAGATGAAACACAAAGATATGTCAAACTGATCTGTACTGGGGCTGGCAAAAGTAGGTTTATAGTTATTTGTATTATTATCTACTAGAGGCCCGTTGCACGAAGAAATTCGTGCAACAGGCCTTCCTTCCCCTGGCTGCCAGCACCGGTTTTCCTCTGGTACCTGGGACCCAGGCCTTTAATCCAGCCACAGCAAGGCTTGGCTTCTCCAGTCTTCACTCCGGCCGGAGCCTTCAGTCTTCGCTCGGCACCTGCATATGCAAATTAACCGCCATCTTTGTTGAGTTAATTTGCATAGTCATTCTGATTGGCTGGTGGGTGTAGCAGAGTGACACCAATTTGCATGTTTCTCTTTTATTAGTGTAGTTTATATTATAACTATAAACTTATTTTTGCCAATCCCCTGTATATTCATGACAATAAGATTTAGGGGCTGTTTCCTTTAGTTTGTGGTCACTTTTTAAAAACACTAACATTTAAGAAATATTAATGGGTTCTGGATAATCATTTGCAATCAATTTGATGATAGTGAACACTAACTTTAATCCCAATTAAATGATACAGTTCACAAAAAGAACTCCACTATATTAAATTGCAGACTGTCTTACAAAAAAATTGTACTTAGTTATTACTATATTTTGAATTTCATCAATAAAAAGATCTGTGGAAATTTTTGTTCTCTCCTTATAGCTCTCTATGATTTGTATTTTAGCCCACAAAGCCTGACATATTTTATCTAGCCCTTTAAAGAAAAAGTTTGCCAATGCCTGAATTAGAATATTAATCTGGATAATGGGGAATACATAGGTTTTAAGGAAACAAAAAGATTAAAATATGTGAATTTAGATTTGAGTATAGTATGGGAATCCAGAAGGAAGGACAACTGTTGAACAAAGGTAAGAGGTAGTTATTCAAAAAACAAGTGTAACTATCTTAGTGGTCTCAGGTATAAGCCATAAGAAATTACATGGACAGCAAAGAAGATTCTTGAATACACACTGATCTTTTCAACCACACCTGCATAAACTGATATCTAACAAAATCACCTTATCAAAAGTAACATTTTTATAGAATGAAGTACAAGGATTTCAAAGTACAGTGGGGCCTTGACTTATAGGTGTCCCGACTAACGAGTTTTTCAAGATACGAGCCGTCTCTCGGCCGATTTTTTGCTTTGAGTTGTGAGCTAAAATTCGGGTTACGAGCCAGCTTCAGATACCCCACCGCTAGTTGGCACAGCGAACGTCACAGTGAACGCCACAACATCAGCCCAGCATTCAATTCATTGTAATGGTGAAAATTGATTTGACATACGAGTAATTTGAGTTACGAGCTCCGTCACGGAAAATTAAACTCGTAAGTCAAGGCCCCACTGTAATTTAATTACCGTCCTGTGTATAACTGGTAAAAGCTACCAAGGAGTTATGGCTCAATACAATAAAACTGAACTCAAGCTGTGCAGACACAGAAAGTAGCCATCAGAAGCTCGAAGTATTCAAGAAAATACTGAAAAAAACATCTGTTAGGAATGTAACTAAGAAGGTTCTGGCATTGGATGGAGGACTGGACTATGACCTCTAAGGAGATTTTTCAATTTTTCACTTCCAAGAAAATCCTATATAATAAAGGCCTAATATGCTAAGAGTCCGGTTGTCCGTTCCACCAATCAAAGCATAATATGCTAATGATATGCTAAGGCTGCTCAACCACTCGCTATGATGTGCACTGACCACCAGGGGGCAGAAAGTCGACCAGTCGCTGACATGCACTGACCACCAGGGGGCAGACGCTCCAACATGTAGGTTAGCTTGCTGCTGGGGCTGATCAGGACTGAGCAAGACAGGCCGGACATGCCCTAGAGCCCTCTGTGGTCCCTCCCTGGCTGGCCAACCTTCTGCATCCCTCCCTGTCCCCGATTGTGCACCGGTGGAGGTCCCTTGGCCCAGTCTGCTCCCTCTTGCAATCCGGGACCCCTCAGGGGATGTTGGAGAGCCAGTTTTGGCCTGATCCCGCAGGCCAGGCCAAGGGACCCCATGGTACATGAATTCGTACACTGGGCCTCTAGTCAATAATAAAGTCAGTAGGAGTTGCTGCTTTTGTCAACCCGTAACCTTAGAATGAATCCATCAAGTGATCTCAATACATACATTTTAGATTTTTTAAAAAGAGGGGTTGGAAATTCTTTAAGAGCTCAAATATTAAAAGCTTTAAAAATTTACATTTAAAAACTCAATTATAATCTCACCCCTACTGTTCTTAAGATAAACATTAATTCCAAGTTATAATATTTTGAATCTGGTGTTGTTAATGAAAGTGTTGATAGACCTAATAAATAACATTATAGTAAACCTATGATCAAAATTCTGCTTTTATCTGTGTCCTCATACATGTAGATATTCAGTCTTCCACTTTATGAATATTTATGTATTAAATAGATACAAGCATCTCCTATGTATTCAGCAAAGTACCAGGAAGAGAGAGTATATGGTTAGAAAAAACAGACATGGCTTGTTTTTATTCACTTTATACACCTTTAGTGATCTTCTAGTTTTTAAGTACTTTAATTAACAGACATATCCCTTCTTTGCATCAGAAATCCAAAATGGCTTTTCCAGGAGCATACAACAGAAGAATAACTCAGAGCCCAAAAGGCTGTGTTCTTACACTTCCTCTACAGCAGAACTTGCTATGTGATCTTGAATCACCTTCTCCATTTTTTTTTAAGTCTTCCATGGGTGTGTGTGTGTGTGTGTGTGTGTGTTATGCATTCTTAGAATATAGTAGCAAAATTCCATCCAATTCAAAATTCCAATTCAACCTCACCTTGATTATTTCCACCAATTGATCCACACCACTGTCCCCTGGAAATATTGGTTGTCCTAGCAACAGTTCAGCCAGCACACAGCCTGCAGACCATACGTCTGAAGAGAAAAACAAAACAAAGGCTTATTAATACTGTGTAGCTTAAGTTGAATTGAAAAATATTTGTATAAATTATTTAATTTTACTTTGATCACAGAAAAAATCACAAGCAAAAGACTGTACAATCTAGAACAAAGGAAAAAAGTCATCAAATTATTCTTAATGCATTTTAAAAATTAAGTGTTAAACTTACTAAAGGGGAAATCAAGACCAATCATAATATTCCCCTAAAAGGTAAAGTCTATTTATTATCAAATATCAGGTGTCCGAGTCTTCAACAACCAAGACAGGTAATTACAGTACCAAAACATGGGTGAAATTAGCTACTTATCATACTTAAAAATAAGGCAAGTGACACAATCTTTGCATATTAGCGCGCGCTTACAGAGTAGCAGCAACCTAGAGTTCAAGATCCTATACACAGAGTTTTAAGTCAATGCAAGTTCTGAGAAAAAAAATTTAGGACTTTAAATGGTTGACTTTTATGTTGTAATATTGATAGAAAAAACCTCCTTAAACATATTACCATTTTAAAATGTAAAAACAGAAGAATATACTTTATTTCACAAATAACAAAATAATTCATTTTTTTAATATATTTTCTTGATTTTTTACAGAGAGGAAAGGAGAGGAATAGAGAGTTGGAAACATCAATAAGAGAGAAACATCGATCAGCCACCTCCTGCACACCCCCCACTGGGGATGTGCCCGCAACCAAGGTACATGCCCTTGACTGGAACCAAACCTGGGACCCTTCAGTCCACAGGCTGACCCTCTATCCCAGGGGTGGGCAAACTTTTTGACTCGAGGGCCACAATGGGTTCTTAAACTGGACCGGAGGGCCAGAACAAAAGCATGGATGGAGTGTTTGTGTGAACTAATATAAATTCAAAGTAAACATCATTACATAAAAGGGTACGGTCTTTTTTTTTTTTTAGTTTTATTCATTTCAAACGGCCGGATCCGGCCCGCGGGCTGTAGTTTGCCCACGGCTGCTCTATCCACTGAGTCAAACCAGTTAAGGCACAAAATAATTCATTTTTAAGTCAAAGTGGAAACCTTAATCCCTGAGGGAAAAAACTGTTAAAAATGTAATTAATAAATTAAAACATAACTTAAAGCATACATCTGGCTTACCCCAAAGGGTCCTGGTTTAAATCTATTGCCCTGGAATAATTACTAACAGCATATACTTTCTCTTTAAAAGTATTACCAAATGGGATGATAAATTATATGGTCACTCTACGTATAACCCACCATTAAGTCTTCCTTCAAGGTTAAGCTAATTTTCAGTTTCTGGATGCCTGAGATTGCTGGGTTTTGTATAAACCAACAATCAAGTGCTTTAGACAGATGAACATAATCATTGCTGGGCTTTCCCATCTACCAGCAGGGAGGAAGAATAGTAAAATGGCACAGGGCAACAAATAATTTAAGAGGTCTGATGTGGTAAGATGCACTATGAAGAGAGAATTGAAAATCCTTACTCCAGTGACTACTTTTTACTAACCTAGAAAAATGACATAAAATTCATTTAAGAAATTCAAGTTGATTTTGTCCAGTTTCAAGTACTGACAACAAAGATACCTATTTTGCAAGCATAGACCAAAACAAGCCCTCCTTGATATATTAGGTAATTGTTAAATAAAGCAAATATGAAGATCTGCTAGGAAATGTTTACTTTACTCAGAGCCTATAGTAATACTAACTCTTAAAATCAAGTGGGAAAATGTATCTCTTTATTAATGTAAATGATTTATTTTGATCTAGGTTTAAAAATATCCCTTTACCTAGCTAATTAGATGAAAGGTAATATGCATTAACTTCTTTCTTCTGTAATACAGAATTCACCTCAGAAGACAAGTCTAGAAAAATTGCAGGGAAATAATTACAATTTCATAAAACAAAAATGGGAAACACTTTCTTAGGCATGATTCAAGGTACAAATATGGGAGACAAGGAGTAAAACAGTAAGGAATACTATTGCTAAAAAAAAAGGAATACTATTGCTTAGTGGTTGTCACAGAAGATTAAATCAAAACATTCAGATGGCAATTATACTAGTGGTCTTCAATACATGTTAACTCAGGCAAATTACTAAAATCAAGATATTTATCATTCACTTTCTGGCAGACACCAAAATCTCTTCTGTTCTTATTACTTCAGAGGATAAATGGATGACATTCTCCAAAAGAATAAAACAGAACTAAACAAAAGGCACAAAAAAGTAAAGTGCTTTGGCACACTGAATTTTCTGGTTATTTGGAGTTTAAGCCAAAACAGTATTCTGTTTCATACTTTAATTCATGGCAAAGCAATCTTTCAAGGCTATCTAGTTTAACAAACTTACTTCACAGATAAGGAAGTAAGTCCAAGATTTGTCCAAGATAAAGCTACTGAATAGCAGAAGTAGGCCTGGATCCCAATTCCAATGTCACTATCATCACAGAATACCTTTCTTCACAGGTCTGTAAGCCTATTCCTTATATTAAAGCAGCCATTTGTTTTCATTCTACCATTTCTTAGTAAGACAATATAATCAGAGCCATCAGTCTTAGCTCTAGTTATATCCAAATATGACAATAAACTAGTCAGAACCAGCTACTCTTTCACTTTAAACATCGTTTAAAATATTTCTATCGTTTAAAATGTACTTGTATTAGTACACTTCTAAATAACTTTGTTTTTGTCTGTTTACAAATATTCCAGAGTGTTAAGAGGCAAGTGGCCTAAGTATAAAAAGGGAGTCCAAATATAGGCTTGTTAGGGTTTAAAAGGCCTCAGGCTTAAGTCGGTGGCATAATGGTGAGTCCCAAGCCTAGAAAATCAGAAGTTAGAATCTGGCTTTAGCCATGCAAAGGAGGCTACTGGAAAACAGGTACTCCAAACACCCAGAGAATTGGTTTCTAATAGAGAAAACAGACTACACTGTCCTTTTTTTGTCTGAGAAGATTCCAAAGAACTTCTGGGCACATGGACACTTATAGAAGTAATGCACTTAAGAGGGTCGAATGTTTATATAAACATGCCTTAATGTGTCAGAAGATGTAGTCATAACTTTCTGAAAAAAGCAAATTGCATTTACCTAGGCACAACCCATCCCAATACCTGGTATGCAGATGATTGGTGTATACTTGAATAAAATACAAAGCAGCTGGAAAATACAATGACATCTCCAAAAATAAAGTGCTGAAATTTGGTCTCTGGGAGAGTCAAGTTAGCAAATACCACAAAAAGAATAGTACCTTACACTTCTATAGTCCTTTCACTAATGTTTTATTAACATTAGTTAATCCTCATAGCCACTCAAAAAGGTAGGCAGAAATGTTAGTAATCTCCACTTTATAGCTTAGCTAAGTAGTAATAAATCTGGAACTCAGATCTAGTTCTACTAAACCAAAATATCCTTATGTGCTCCTTAACATGTCATATAACATAGCCGTGATGAAACTTTGAGTATTACATATCACACAAAAACACAAATATACTCTCTATCCTTCAGTGTCATAGGTCTCAAGTATGGTCTATTGAGCCCAGCCGCACCCCCACCCCCGACCCCCCCGAACCTTTTCACTGTTCCTGAAGGGCAAAGCTACTTTCAAAAGAATACTAAGATGCTATCTGCATTCTTCACTGTGTTCATATTTGCACTGGTGGTGTGAAAGAAATGGTGGGTAAAACTGCTGCTCCCTGGGCATTTTGCCCTTTGACATTAGTGTATTTCTGTTTAGTGGTCTTTGTTCATATCCGAGAATTTCTACTTGTATCAAAAGACAAAACTTGTCCAAGTTCTAGGTTTTTCCTAGATTTCTGTTACTGAAGTTTGGGTTTTATTGTTTGTTTGCTTGGTACTTGTAAGCTTTTGTTTCTGTTTTTGACTAAGGAATTCTCTTCTGAAATAATATATAACAATAAAATAATTTTGACCTCCACTTGCACATAGCCTAAGGTTGCACTTAGCTTCCTATTCATGTCCACATGATCATACTCTCCATGTTCACTCCTACTAATGGGCAAAAATAAGATAGAAGAGAAGGTTAGTAAAGATTGGAGGAAACTGTCTTTATTCAATTCCTTCTGTCACTAAAAATCTTTCATGAAAACTTCTACAGACTTAGTGGGTTTAGCCAAACTACTAAAGAAAAAGTCAGAGCCCTAGCTGGGTTGGCTCAATAGATAGAGCATCGGCCTGCGGACTTAAGGGTCCCAGGTTCGATTCCGGTCAAGGGCACATGCCCAGGTTGCAGGCTCGATCCCCAGTAGGGGCGTGCAGGAGCAGTCTATCAATGATTTTCTCTTCTCTCATCATTGATGATTCTCTCTCTCCCTTTCCCTTCCTCTCTGAAATCAATAAAAATATATTTTTAAAAAAGGTCAGAGTTATTTTATAAATATCTAAATTAAAATTAAAGAGCTAATTGAGACAGCATAGTAGGATGTCAACAATATGGTCATTCCATTACTTTCATGATAAACAATGAATGCAAATTCTCCAACTGTTGATCAAGCTCAGAAGTATTTCAGGGGAATTTAAAAGAAACAAAAAGGAAAGAAAATGTATACTTAGGATTTATTTGAAAGTTTAAGTTAAAAACAGAGGTAATCATAAAGAAATCATGCAATCATAAATAACTTTATTACTTATTTGAAAAATCCATGAAACCTAAAAGTAAATAATAAATGTATTTAAAATTTTAAATACTATACACATTTTTGCATACCAACCATTAAGAAAAAACACATTTTAGGGTATACCCATCTTTATATTTAAGTGAAAGTATAGATTACTAATACTAAATTACTGAAAACAAGATTCAATTAATAGTCCAAGCCATTTATATTCAGATTCGGTACTTACCTATACTAGAGGTATAATCAGTGGCTCCAAAGATCAACTCTGGTGCCCTATAGTACCGAGAACAGATATACGAAACATTGGGTTCTCCTCGGACCAGCTGCTTTGCACTAACAAAAATAAAAAGCAGAAAAATTAAAAACAATCTAAACCTTAAAACTGCTATCATGCACAAAACTAAATGTTTATCTAAGATTCATGTAATTCCAATCATGTTATACATGAAAAAGAAAATATGAACCATAACTATTTCAGACAAAAGAAACATAATTTTAGCAATATATTAATTTTAAAAATAACAGTAATTTTTAAAGACTACATTTGTCAACTGTCACCTAAGGAAAAAGAGATAAAAAGTCACAGAAGGATAAATGCTTAATTTCTTCTGATCCTCTGGTTCCCTAAATTCCACCCCTGAAAAAGAGTTGAAAAGTAAGAAGTGTCCATCCCCACCAAAAAACATAATAATGGGTTATAAAATATAAGAATGAATACTTTTTACCCAATGTTTTTTTAAGGGTAAGAAATTTGCTACTCTTTTATAATTTGATTTCAGAGTAAATATCCTGAGATTTACAGACCCAATCTATTTTTCCACCATCTTAGTCAATTTATTAACTGTCTAAACATTCAATACCCAATAAAAAAGACAGGCTCACTTCTTAAGAGCAGAGATTATTCACAACCTATGCATTATAACTCTGCTGTCCTGAGTTTACATGTCCTCTTAATCCAACTTTCCTTCCAAAACTTTGTGGCATGTATTTTAAACATTACAATAAATTAAAATCAGTTTCTTTTGAGATGTCTCGCAAGATTAACTTGAAGACACACTGAAATAAATTGCTGTAGAAGCTAACTATTTTGACATGCAATAATAACAAAGATAAATACAGGAAATGAATACAAACAAAATAAAAATAAAAAGTGAGTAACAAGGAAAGGTAAGAAAAATTTGAGGCAAAGGTACAGAGTAGAGATGAAAGTGGTCACAAGGGTTTCAAAGTTTGAGCTTTCTTTTCTTTCATTTATTTGTGATTCATGATAACTTTGACCTTAACCTATTCTTCCTTCATCACAAATTTTGAAGGTCAGAGACAGTTTATTTTTTGACATTCTCCACAAGTACTGACACAAAGCAACCATTTTATAAGTTAATAAATATTATAATCCCTGTTTTTAGGCTGCATAAAAATTGTGACACTTTTCAGCACTAACTGATAAGACTTTTCTACTTTATAATTTCTTTAATTAACAAGACAGATTCTAAGTTTATAGTCAGAAATTTACTATTAGATAAAGAAGGTAAGATTGAAAACTCCACAGCCTCTAGATTTCTTCACTACTTGATGGAGTTACCTTCTTTCTCTTCAAGTAAGGCTGGCTCTAACTTCCTGCCCTTTAAGGATTGAGCATTCAATATAGTGGTCACATATAGTCCTAAGAAAGCCCAACTAGCCCTTCACCTACTTCCAGGCCCTTTTTCATCCAGTAAAGATTTACTAACAAGAGTCATACTCTTTTGTTCAAGTCACCATCAACCTGGCTTATTTCACTTAGCATAATGCTCTCCAGTTCCATCCATGCTGTTGCAAATGGTAAGAATTCCTTCTTTTTTACAGCAGCATAGTATTCCATTGTGTATATGTACCAGTTTTCTAATCCATTCATCCATTGATGGGCACTTAGGTTGTTTCCAGATCTTAGCTATGGTAAATTGTGCTGCTATGTACATAGGGATGCATATATCCTTTCTGATTGGTGTTTCTGGTTTGGGATAAATTCCTAGCAGTGGGATCAATGGGTCAAATGGGAGTTCCATTTTTAACTTTTTGAGGAAACTCCATACTGTCTTCCATAGTGGCTGCACCAGTCTGCATTCCCACCAGCAGTGCAAGAGGGTTCCTTTTTCTCCGCATCCTCTCCAGCACTTGTCATTTGTTGATGATAGCCATTCTGACAGGTGTGAGATGGTACCTCATTGTTGTTTTGATTTGCATCTCTTGGATGATTAGTGACTTTGAGCATGTTTTCATATGTCTCTTGGCTTTCTGAATGTCCTCTTTTGAAAAGTGTCTATTTAGGTCCTTTGCCCATTTCTTGATTGGATTGTTTATCTTCCTTTGGTTAAGTTGTATGAGTTCCCTATAAATGTTGGAGATTAAACCCTTATTGGTGATAACATTGGCAAATATGTTCTCCCATGCAGTGGGCTTTCTTGTTGTTTTGTTGATGGTTTCTTTTGCTGTGCAGAAGCTTTTTATTTTGATGTAGTCCCATTTGTTTATTTTCTCTTTAGTTTCCAATGCCCTAGGAGATGTATCGGTGAAGAAATTGCTTCGGCATATGTCTGAGATTTTGTTGCCTTTGGATTCCTCTAGTATTTTTATGGTTTCCCGTCTTACATTTAAGTCCTTTATCAATTTGGAGTTTATTTTTGTGTATGGTGTAAGTTGGTGGTCTAGTTTCATTTTTTTGCATGTATCTGTCCAATTTTCCCAACAACATTTATTGAAGAGACTGTCTTGACTCCATTGTATGTTCTTGCCTCCTTTGTCAAATATTAATTGAGCATATTGGTTCGGGTCGATTTCTGGGTTCTCTATTCTATTCCACTGATCTATATGTCTGTTCTTGTGCCAGTACCAGGCAGTTTTGAGAACAGTGGCTTTGTAATACAGCTTGATATCTGGTATTGAGATCCCACCTACTTTGTTCTTCTTTCTCAGGATCGCTGCAGCTATTCGGGGTCTTTTTTTATTCCAGATGAATTTTTGGAGAGTTCGTTCTAGGTCTGTGAAATACGTTGTTGGTATTTTAATGGGGAGTGCGTTAAATTTATAGATTGCTTTGGGTAGTATGGACATTTTAATGATGTTGTTTCTACCAATCCATGAACATGGTATGTTCTTCCATCTGTTTATGTCTTCCTCTATCTTTTTTTTCAACGTCCTGTAGTTTTCTGAGTAGAGGTCTTTTACCTCTTTAGTTAAGTTTATTCCTAGGTATCTTAATTTTTTTGGTGTGATGGTAAATGGGATTGCTTTTTTAGTCTCTCTTTCTGTAAGTTCATTATTGGTGTATAGAAATGCCATAGATTTCTTGGCATTAATTTTGTATCCTGCTACATTGCCAAATTCATTTATTAAGTCTAATAGTTTTTTGATGGAGTCTTTAGGGTTTTTTATGTACAATATCATGTCATCTGCGAATAAGGACAGTTTTATTTCTATATATATATATTCTTGATCTTGCTTTTTAAAAAATTCTCACCCAAGGATATGTTTATTGATTTGAGAGAGAAAGAGAGAGAGAGAGAGAGAGACAGACAGAAACATCAATCAGTTGCCTTCCATACATGCCCTGACTTGTATCAAACCCGCAAGCTAGGCAGATGCCCTGACCAGGAATAGAATCCACCACCTTTCGTGTATGGGATGATGCTCGAACCAACTGAGTCACACTGGCCAAGGCTTGACCTTGCTTTTTAAGTTTAGAATTTCTCAGAGGTCATTCCTTTTCAATTTATAAGGAGCTACCTCATGCCATTATTTATCTGGTCATTTTCTTACTGACAGACACTGATAAACAATGCTGTGACAAAAATCCCTGTACATACACTATTTTGTATTTCTAAGGGAGTAATTCCTAAGAATTAAATTGCTAGATGACAATATCCATTTATAATTCTGACAGAATTTACCCAAACTACCTGAAGCTGCACTAGTCTATAGTCCCTGAATAAGCATTACAGTATTTTTAGACTGACATTATAAAAGAAATATATTTTTTAAAAGCATATGGAGTGTAAGGGTGAGGTAGGAAAGGAGGGAAGGGAGAAGAAGAGAGAGCTAGCTTACCTTCCAAAGTCACAGAGTTTTAATACAGCTGTATCAGGGTCCAACAAGAGGTTCTGTGGTTTAATATCCCGATGGCAGATTCCAAAGGAATGAATATAGGCTAAACTTCGAAACAGCTGATACATATACAACTGGAAAAAATAGCCAAAATTAATTGAATAGTTTCTCTCTCAAACAATCAGAATCCTTAAGCGAGTAAATAAAGTAACAGATAAGGTGAAATGCTGGGGATTATTAGTACTCAATCTTCCTTTAACAAGTTTCATGTCATTTCTATGTTCATTAGCTAATTAAAGTTTCATTAACCATATAATATATTTACACCATCCTCTACTAACTTAAAAAAGAAAATTTTACAATATGCCTTATAATTTTTTATTTTACTAAGATTGCAAAACAAATCCAAGATGTGTTTTTTTCAAATGGATAAAAAGCTCAGAGGGATATTTCAAATCATGTGACTAATAAGAAAGTTTAGACCAAAAGCCAAGTCTTCAGTTTTTAAGTTCATCATTCTTTAAAAGTATTTGCAGTTTCATCTTAAGAATAATAATTTTCTGAGATGTCAGTCCCAGAGATTATCGATACAGAGGACTGGAAAAATTCACATGTGAACTGAGAAAATCTATAATCAATGATCTATCAAGATATCAGTGACCCCATTAATAGCATCACTATGCTTCCTATTAATATCCTTAAAAAAATAAGTAGACTTTAAAATGCCATTTAAAAAGAGATCCTAGCTGACTACTGACATAATTTAAAAGAATATTTGTTCAAATTTTACTTGGAAAAAAAGCACCAAGAAACTGGATCTGCGTGGAAGAAAGAATCAGACTCTTGACTGAGGAAGAAAGGGACTTTATAAAGAAAGTGAGTACAGCTGACTCTTGAACAACATGGGCTTGAACTGCATGGGTCCACTTATATATGGATTTTGTTCAACAAATATATTAAATAATTTTGAGGGGAGATTTCCTTACTACTGTGAAGCAATCACATCTATAACACAAGGTTACCATAAAGTTATCATATTGTTGCTTCTTTATTTTCAATGCATGAATTGTTATAACTGTAAATAAACTGAACTTCTTTTTCATATTATCTTTTCAATATTTATGCTTAGTGTTAGTAATACATATAATATCTATAATGTTTTGGATCATACAAGAAAATAATGATACAGGTACTGAAAGACAATTTATCAGATGATAAATCTTAAATAAACAGATGATGCAAACTTAAGAGTATCAATAAATGCAGTGTAGTACTGTAAATGTATTTGCATTTGATTTCCTTACTAACATTTTTTCTAGATTACTTTATTGTAAGAATATAGTATATTATACATATAACATTCAAAATATGTATTAATCAACTATATTATCAGTAGGGCTTCTAGTCAATAGTAGGCTATTAGTTAAGTTTTGGGGGAGTCAAAAGATAGAGGTGGATTTTTGACTGAAAGTGGAAGTAGGGGAGGGTGTCAGCACCCTTAACCCCTGCATTAAAAGGTCAAGTGTATCTTAAACCTCCTGTTTATCCTAAGGTCCATGTTCTGGTTCATTTTAAATTTTTCTGACTACACCTTGGAAAGACTTTTTGAAATGATTCAAAACAAAGATACCAGTGACTTGATAAAAAAAACAAAACAAAAACGATAATTAAAGTTCAGACAGAGCATTGTCACAAGGCACCATATTTAGAGGCTATTGTTAAGACTTTTTAATTCAAGTTAACATGACACCTGCTTTCTTTCCAACAGGCCATGATGAAAACTGCAGACAGGTAATTTCAGTGCATCCTTAACATTATACTGAACTACAGCTGGAAAAGTTTAATGCTTCTTTAAAATGAAGCATAATGTAAAATGTATAGATAAGATCTTCAATTAGGTCAACATTTTGTCAACAAAGTTAGAATTAAGGAATTTAGATATTTATATAACTTTAAAAAAAAATCCTCACGCAAGGACATGTTTCCCACTGATTTTTAGCAAAAGAAGAAGGGAGAAGGAGGGAAGGAGAGAGGGAGAAACTGGCAGACATCGATGTGAGAGAGAAACATCGATAGGTTGGCTCCCTTATGCACCCCAACTGGGGATTGGACCCGCAACCTGGTATGTGCCCTGACAGGGAATTGAACTTGCAACCTTTCAGTGCTCAGGACATTGCTCCAACCAACTGAGTAACACCAGCCAGGTCGTTCATGTAACTTTTTAAAAGCTTCATAATTCTAATATTGTATCATTGTTCACAGCATCAACCTCCAAGTCCTAAAGCTTACTCTCAGAATTTTAAGAGTTTAATTCACTGCCACTACAAAAAAAAAAGTCCCCATAAGATATTGAGTTCATAGACATTAATTTACTAAAGAAAATGATGTCTAGGTCAGCAAGAATCAACAGGAAAAAAAAAATGTTTTCTTTGCTAAATTTGTTTAAGAGTTTAAATAAGGTTAAAGTATCTTTTTACTATATTCATTCATCTGAAAGATCTACCCTATCTCCCATTCTCTTCACTTTATTTTTTGAAAAGTCCATATAAAGAATGACTTTTTATTTGACTCTGTAAAAGTGTATTTATAGGATAACTGAGAGGCTTACTACACTAGAAAGCAATAACAAGATAAACAACTGGTCATTATTCTAAGAACTTTACATGTATTATTTCATTTAACCCTTATGTAATAGGTACAACTATTATTTCTATTTTATATATAAAGTAACTTAGACACATAGGTTAAGCGATTTGTCCAGTATCATATATTTAATATTCTGCAGTGTCTTGGGTAAATATGCCTCTTTTTATTACTATTTCTTTATTTTGTCTTATTCTTATTCTATTAACTAAAAGTGCAAAAACATAATTATTAAATAGCTTGATCACTAAGTTAAAAAGACTAGAATGATAAACTCTTAGAAACTCAGATTATCTAGTACATTTTAAAATTTGAGATTTAACAAGTACTGTAAAATCAAGTGTGTTTCACCATTTGTTTATTTAATTATGTAACCACTCTGTGATATACACATTTGTCCTAAATTTTACAAGAGATCATTGAGGCCCATTAGCAGGTTGAACACAATCTGAACCCAGTTGCAAAATTATTAAATCTAACTTCAAGTCCAATGTCTTCTCTCCTCTGTGCTACTAAACCTGTTTAAAACTCATAGAATAACAATTTTATTCATGATTCATAAAAATGCATCCAGCTCTTGTGTACCCAGACCCTATCCTTAAACATGTATTTATTAACTTAAAAAATTTCAAGATCAATGATTTGTCAGGCATCTGTTTTAGAATTGTGTTTAAACACTCAATTATGAAAGCTATTAATCAGAAAAGCAAAGGTGCTATCTAACTATCATCAACTATAAAGTGACCAGCACTATAAAAGGGGTAAAGAAAGAGGTCTGAAGCAATAAACTCATAAAACATACTCAACTCCCCCAGAAAACATGAAAGTTAAAGAGTCACAAAAAACTACAATTGCCATTTTGGTAACACGTTTGCCAAGTAAGTTATTAAATGGTGAGGTCTGTGAAGGCAAAAGTTACTTAAGGAAAAAACAGTATGCCCATTAACAAGTGACCAGCTGAATAAATTAGGATACAGCCATGCAACAGACTAATATATACAGCTGTAAAAAAGAAAGGCAAATAGCTCTATCTATCTATCTATCTATCTATCTCCAGAATACATTTTTTTTTTACATTTTTAATTTTAAAAGCAAGGTAGAAGAATGTATACATTATGTAACCATTTACATAAAAAGGAGATGGAGCGATAAAACAATTATATACATTTATTTACTTAAAAATTTTCAATATTCAATTCTGGGAGGGGTGAGGAATAGGGTAGAGGAAATGGATAACAACAGCTAAACTTCTTAAACTGCATATATCTTGTTTTATAGATTTTACTTTGGAACTAGGTATTTTCTATTTTGATGGAAAATTAACTTCAAAAAAGCTTAAAACACAATCTATAATAAAAGTAAAATTAAACGAAGCTTAGCAGGGCATAATCACAGACAGAAACTATTCACTGTTTATTTAAAATAGAGAAATTGGACTGTTCATCTAATGCAGTGGTTCTCAACCTTCTGGCCCTTTAAATACAGTTCCTCATGTTATGACCCAACCATAAAATTATTTTCGTTGCTACTTCATAACTGTAATGTTGCTACTATTATGAATTGTAATGTAAATATCTCATATGCAGGATGGTCTTAGGCGACCCCTGGGAAAGGATTGTTTGACCGCCAAAGGGGTCACGACCCACAGGTTGAGAACCATTGATCTAATGGCATGTACCATGGGAATAAAAAAGAGCTGCAAAAAGATCTTAAATTATTTTCAGCTTGCCGAAACCGGTTTGGCTCAGTGGATAGAGCGTACTGTATGTATAGTATGGGACAGAACAAGTAAGTAATTATACTGTCATTAAAAAATGGAATTTTTAGTGTAAAGAAAAGGAAATAGAAATGGATGATTGTTAAGCCCCTCAAAATTTAATTAGAAAGATAGCCCAGCTGGTGTGACTCAAAAATCAATAAAATATATTTAAAAAAAAAAAAAAAAAAAAAAAAAATTCGGGCTCCATTCCCGGTAGGGGGCGTGGAGGAGGCAGCCGATCAAATGATCCTTTCTCTTCGTTGATGTTTTATTTCCCTTTCCTTTCCTCTCTGAAATCAATAAAAATATATTTAAAAAAGAAAGAAAGAAATATCAATATGAACTCAGAGTGTATTTATCATTGGGGTGAATAAAAAGATGCAATTTATCTTTGAAAACAATCATCCACATATTTCCTAGCTCTGTCCACTAAAAAGACTTAAAAACAATAACCAACTCTATGGTAAGTAGCACCCCCAATATCCACACTGTGATCTCTGAATACCATTTCCCACTAAAAGAGTAAGTTCCCCTGAAGAAAAGGCTCATTCCAACTCGGCAGAAGAAATGTATAAGATGAACCTAGAGTACTGTCATGATAGAAAGCAATGAAGCTATCAAAGATTACTAAGACTTGTCTAAAAAGCTTTAAAACAAACACAACAACAACAAATTACTCCTTGGTCACCTTTGGAGGGTGCTATGGAACCAATAAATTATTATAAATTTTGATAGAGGGAAAAAAATCAAATATATATCCTGTCTTATATAAACTGTACTTCAGGGTAATGAAATAGCTGACATGGAAAGTTTCTATTTATGGAACTATTCTAGCTTATAAATTAAGAAGGAATAACATTAAAATATCATTTTATGACCACTAATGAATTAATGGATTTAGGCAATTATCATCAATAGCTACAAGCATCACAAAAAGAAAGATATTATGTCTTCCTTAGGAAAGCACCCAAACCTATATATGAAATACTCTTGATTCCTCCAAAAAAAATTATCTAATATCAAATTTACAGGAAATACAGAGAAAAGTAATATACTACATTGTATTGCAGTAATCCAAGCACAAAATCCAGACCAAAAAACTGTAGGTCAAATGATCTAGTTTCTTTAATAACAAAGTTGAGAGAGAGTGAGAGAGAGAAAGAGAGTGAGAGAGAGAGAAAGAGAATGGGGGAGGGGGGGAGAGAGAGAGAATGAGAGGGAGAGAGAGAATGAGGGGGAAGGGAAAAGGGGAGAGGGGAGAGGGAGAGATTAAAAGAAACATTAAGAAGCACATACGCCAAGGTTGCAATTAATAAGTAGAACAACAAATTGATCTCTCTCTCTCTCTCTCAAATCAATTAAAAAATAAAAAAGAAGCAGCAGCACATCTGCCAGTTGCAATATAGGGACTTTACTTGGATCCCAATTCTAACAAATAAATTTTTAAAATATATATAAGACATATTGGAAATATAAATAACTGGATATTTAATCAGAATTATGCTGGATAAATTCCTAGCCACTCTGTCATGAGTTCTATAAAATAAAAAAGATAACATTGGTATTAGGTACCAAAAATAAAATAACACCTTGAAAGAGTCTATGCATATTTAAAATTATCAAAAGTTGAAACTTCAGCTACAGACACAATGTATATGTAAGTGGCAATAAAACATTGAATCTGATCATACTTATAACTATATTTTATAATTTTATGGTATGATTGCTCTTATTTCAGTCTGTGGTACAATAAGTATATCAGAAATTAAATAAAAAGGTGCTATGCCTAGCAAAATTAAGTCCATAATTGTCTGTGAAAAATTCACTTATCAGAAAGATGACAAGTATCTTTAAGACCTGAGTCATTAAAGTTTAAAAAGTAAAGGCTTCACACTTTAAAACTGTACAAGAATTTAATGAAGCTCTAGCAATACCTACTTTGCAGCTTTCCCCCCTTAGTATTAGATGCGATAATGTAGTTAAAACACATAGCCCTCTCCCTGGCTCATGATAAGTACTTTTTTAAATGGAAAATTGCTCCATTTTTACATACCTTGACATAGATCACAGGAAGCGTCTGTTTAGCTCGACTATAGTGTCTGGCAACTCTGTATACTGTTTCCGGAACATAGTCCAGCACCAGATTGAGATAGACCTCATCTTTCTGAAAAAGTTTATTAAAAACAAAGAAAATAACAAGATTAGAAACTAGTCTTTAAATATTCAAATTAGAGTAAATGCTCTACATATTCACTTATTCAGATTAAAAAATTAGAATGTGTTCAATTTTAATTATACAAAATTAAATCAGAATATAACCATAATAATAAAAACAATCTACCACTTTTTCAATACCGTTAAGATTCTTAATCACATTCAAGCTATTATTTAGGTTATATGATTTTAAAGGATACCACCTACCACAAAATTTCACATTTTCTAATTTGAGAATCAATGCCCTCATATCCTATCAGGAAAGGTGTCATAGCAATAAAGTGAGTATTGAATTGGGAACTACAATAGTGTATTTCTAGCCCTATCTCTGCTGCTAACTTAAATAACTTAAGTTACTTAAATCTCAAGGCTTCAGTTTTTTCAACTATAATACAAAAAGCTGGACTAGATGTTCTCCAAAATTTCTCTAACCTCTACAAAAAGATTATATGGTTACCTGATAGTCTATATTTAGTAGAAAAATCATTTGTCTTCTACAATTAACTGAAAGAAAAAGAGTAACTTAAAAGGCAGCAAGTTACCATACTCACAAGTTTACTGCAGGTCACAAGTTTAAACATCCATTCTCAGTAGCATAAAGACACCAATCCAAGATCATTGGAGAGAAAGAAGGGAATTCCAACTAAGTACCAAGTAGGAAAGAGGAACAGAGTGCTACTCTTACACTGAACATGTGAACAATATCAGATAAGTACACTGAAGCAGAAAACAAAGCTGAGAATCGCTGTGTTCAAGTCTAGAATTGGCCACTGAGTGGGAAAATCTTCAGGTAAACAAACTTTCAGTCTTCCCAATTTGAAATCATCTTACCTACCAAACTGAAGTGAAGAATTTCAATTTTCAGCATTAATTACTTTCTATATGTCAGTGGCTACAGCAGAGGAAGTAAGGGAGCAGGTATAAAGAGATGACATCTAAACTGAGTATGAAAGGGCCATTTCAGGCAGAGAGAAAACCATTTTCAAGATGTGGGGTCAAAGAGTACAACATAGCTCAGGAAACAGTTTAGTGAGATAGCAAACCATTGACCTTACCACCTTTTCACTATCCTTTACTTTATGTTCTCCTCTCTTCCCTTTCACATCCAGCTTAAATTCCTTGGTCTGTCACAGGAATCAGTAAACAATAGCTGCCTGTTTTTATAAATAAAGTTTGATAGGAACACAGTGATGCTGATTTACTTAAGTAAGTCTGGCTACTTTTGAACTACAATGGCAGACTTGAGTAGTTGTGACAGAGACCACATAGCCTGTAAAACCATAAATATTTACTTTATGGCCCTTTATGAAAAAGTTTGCCCAGTCTGCTGTAGTATATACCCTCCTCTTATGCCAGGCTTGTTTGATAAACCACAACTTTGGTTAAATGCAGCTTTCCACACATTCTCTAACTATACCCAAAAGATGAACATGGCAGCAAACCTAAAATTTTGCTAATTGGTCTCACATTAAATTCACCTTGAAGTAATTCAATCAGCCCAGTAGTAATAAAACATTTGCCTAATCTATTCACTTTTTTCTTTCTTAAAAAAATTAAATTATTGTTTAAAGTATTCCTCCATTGACCTCTCCCTGGCTGTTCCCACCCCCAGCACACGCACCCCTACTGTCTGTCCATTGGTTATGCTCATATGCATGCATACAAGTCCTCTGGTTGATCTCTTACCCAACCCCCACCCCACCTTCCCTCATGGGTTGGACAGTCTGTTCAATGCTTCTATGTCTCTGGGTCTATTTTTGTTCATCAATTTATGATGTTCATTATATTCCAAAAATTAGTGAGATCATGTGCTATGTATCTTGCTCTGACTGGTTATTTCGCTTAGCATAATGCTCTCCAGTTCCACCCATGCTGTTGCAAATGGTAAGAATTCCTTCTTTTTTACAGCAGTGTAGTATTCCACTGTGTAGATGTACCACATTTTCTAATCCACTCACCTGCTGTTGGGCACTTAGGCAGTTTCCAAATCTTAGCTATTGTATATTGTGCTGCTGTGAACATAGGGGTGCATATATCCTTTCTGATTGGTGTTTCTGTTTTCTTGGAATATATTCTGAGAATTGGGATCACTGGGTCCAATGAAAGTTCCATTTTTAACTTTCTGAGAAAATGCCATACTGTTTTCCACAGTGGCTGCACCAATATGCATTCTCACCAGCAGTGCAAGAGGGTTCCTTTTTCTCTGCATCCTCGCCAGCAATTGTCATTTGTTGTTTTGTTGATGATAGCCATTCTGATAGGTGTGAGATAGTACCACATTGTTGTTTTGATTTGCACCTCACAGATGACTAGTGACTTTGAGCATGTTTTCATATGTCTCTTGGCCTTCCGTATGTCCTCTTTTGAAAAGAGTCTATTTCGGTCCTTTGCCCATTTTTTGAATGGGTTGTTTATCTTCCTTTTGTTAAGTTGTATGAGTTCCCTAGAAATTTTGGAGATTAAACCCTTACTGGAGATAACATTGGCAAATATGTTCTCCCATGCAGTGGGCTTTCTTGTTTTGTTAGTTTCTTTTGCCGTGCAGAAGCTTTTTATTTTGATGTAGTCCCATTTGTTTATTTTCTCCTTAGTTTCCATTGTCCTATGAGCTGTATCAGTAAAGATATTGCTTTGGCCATATGTCTGAGATTTTGCTGCCAGTGGATTCCTCTAATACTTTTATGGTTTCCCGTCTTACATTTAAGTCCTTTATCCATTTTGAGTTTATTTTTGTGTATGGTGTAAGTTGGTGGTCTAGTTTAATTTTTTTTTTCCATGTACCTGTCCAATTTTCCCAACACCATTTACTGAAGAGACTGTCTTGACACCAATGTATGCTCTTGCCTCCTTTGTCAAATATTAATTGAGCATAATGGCTTGGATCGATTTTTGGGTTCTGCTGTTCTGTTCCATTTGGTCTATATGTCTGTTCTTGTGCCAGTACCAGGCAGTTTTGAGAACAGTGGCTTTGTAATATAGCTTGATATCTGGTATTGTGATGCCTCCAACTTTGTTCTTCATTCTCAGGATTGCTTGGCTATTTGGGGTGTTTTTTATTCCATATGAATTTTTGGAGAGTTTTGTTCTAGGTCTGTGAAACATGCCACTGGTATTCAATCAGCCCAGTAATGATATTACATTTGCCTAATCTATTCTCACCTTTAGCTGATGACCTTTCTTGCACTGCATATTTCCATCTACCAGCATCTATCACCATATGTTCTTTCTTTCTTTCTCTAGAGATAAACTGACCAAGCTTCTTTCTAAGGCAAACCCTGATACTTGTTAAAAAAAAAAAAAAAAAGACACTATTCTGTTTTTCCTATTCAGTCATTACTTCAGTAATTTTCATGTCTTTCTCCATAAATTCTTCTCTGTGGGAGCATTACAATCAGTACACAAAACTGCTGTTATTTCTCCCATCATTAAAAAACCCTTTAATACAATAATCACCACAATATTTTTAGGCCCCCTTTAAGAGCAAAATGCCTGCCCTCTCTGGTTTGGCTCAGTGGATAGAGTGTTGGCCTGCAGACCGGAGGGTCCCAGGTTCGTTTCCAGTCAAGGGCGCATGCCTGGGTTGCTGGCTTGGTCTAACGTGCAGAAGGCAGCTAATCAATGATTCCCTCTCATCATTGATGTTTCTATCTCTCTCTTCCTCTCCCTTCCTCTCTGAAATCAATAAAAATATATTTTTAAAAAAAGAGCAAAATGCCTCAAAAGAGGTGTCTACACTTTTTTGTAATACCTGTCTCAACTCATTCTCTCTAAAAAACGTACTCCTCTGAATTTCACCACCATTACTACACCAGAATTGTTCAAGATCAATAATCTCTTTGTTGCTGAATCCCATGTCTATATTAGTCATCTAGAATATCACAGGAAGAGGAGAACAAGAACACAGAGAAGCGATACAGTATGAATTAAGAGGCAAGGTTAGTATGAGTCACACAAAGTCCCAACTCTGCTACTACAAGTTATGGGACCATGAGCATTACTTAACTTCTCTAGACCTCAGTTTGCTACAAAACAATGCTAATGATGGTGTCTACTTTAAAAGACTGTCTTAAGATTATAAGAAATAATCTATATATAAAGTTCTTTAAGCACATTACCTGTCACATAAAAAAGACTCAATTTTAACTATTATAATTTTTAGAAAGGAACAATACCTTTTTTTTTTTCCCTTCCTGTACATCTAAAATAAGTGATTAGGTGCTGGGGAGAATTGAGTGAATGGCTGATGACCCTATTTTTTGTAAAGCGATGAGGTCATATGTAAACCTGAGGGTAGCCAGAGTGATGCTGAATACTTCTCTTAAAATTTTAGAGATCAAGATTTATTTAGACAACGACCAGTTCCGAGTGAAGGTGAAGTCCAATAAAGAAAATAAATAAAAAAGAATGCTAAAGTGGTGTCAAAGAGATTGTTGTGTTAAGTAGATTTCAAGAAATGGTGAATCTTGGGTTTTGGAAAGGTCATTAACACAGACGTCAAAGCTATCCTTTTTTAACTACTCGATTACAAGGTTTCTTGATTTTAACAAATCATTTGACTAAGTTAATCATGATATATTTATGAATGACCCGGAGATGTGTAAGAATGTATTACAATTTAATTCATAACAAAAATGAAGAATAAAAAGATTTAAAATGAATGCCAAGGACAAAAAAGGTAGGGCCACAAACTCTGTCTTTCACTTATCTCAATCAATATTTTCATAAATGATTTCATTTATTAGGAGTTGCAAAAGTAAATGCCTTCAATGACTAAGCAATAAATGTAAATGTGTGAAACAAAAATGTGTAATGCAGTAAGTTACAGTGATTGGTAATTCAGATAGTACAAGACTTAACTAAAAACATTCTAATTTAAAAAATATTAACAGAATATGCTAACCAAATAAAACACATCAGAGAGGGAATTTGGCAGTCAGCTTAGAATTTCTG